AAAGGAATAATATTTATTTTTTACATTTTTAACAACATGCTACAGTATATGTTTATCTCAATGACAGAGAGACAGACAGACAAAAATTGTATGTAGAAAATATGATTCATAATTTAGGCTACTGACTCATAATACAAAAACATTATCAACATTGTTAACTATAGGAAAAGTCCCCAGTCATATATGTGAAAATAAGAAAATAATAATATAAAAATAATGTTATGTAAGTTTACTCATGTAATTATATACAATATACTAAATAAATATCGTGTCATTTGTTTTAGTAAACTGAATGCGTCATTAACATGTATTTCATGAAACTATTTTATTGATGCATCAACACAAGCAAGATACAAATAATATAGAAGTTTATATTTTCCAGTTTGGTTAACGGATGTAATAAAATAGCCAAACATTTTCGGTAGGAGAAACATTGTCTTTTAAATATATTTCCTAATTCCCAATATCTAGAACAAATGCACACTCAATGAAATTCATCTGAAACCAACTGAATATTTATTGTTGAGAAATTTGACGTATTCGATCCTTTAATTGAAATTTCTCTTCCCCCTATCTGACTCATCAAATCATATTTCTATCATCTAACTTTTGCTATAATCTTATTAAAAATATATGGCATCTGAAAATGAGATATCTGAACTTTTATATTGACTTTAACACTTTAATTTAGAAGCTTGCTTACTTGTTTCTGGCCATCTTTGATATGTCTTATCTTTCACTCGCTGCGAGAAAATTTGAAACAATGTGTTCGCGTAGTTATATATGGCACTAAGGTCCTCTACGGAAATTAACATAACGCCGAAAGCTTACATCGAGTGATGTCATAGCCCTCTACAGAAAATATAAAGTTAACATTTTTCACCCAAAAAAATTAACAAAATAAAAAGTGCAATTAAAAGTGATGTAACATAAAATTTATAAAATTATTCGACGCATATTTAACAATAACACTCTTATCTCAAAAATAAGGTGGTTGCCATAGTAATGACTCTTTAATTGAAAGGCACAATGATGATTGTTAGGGGCCGTCTTGAAATTATAAATTTATGAATGAAATGACTACGTTTTGTGCATTTTTAAATTTTTGATGTTTTTGGATTTTAAAATCGATAGTGAGTTGTCATTAGTCTGGACGGTTATATAATTATTATATAATATTCCATTTAAAATATGTTGTGAAATGTTTAGAAAGGTCTAAGGGAGACAATCGAAACGTATTGGGTGTAACTAAATAATATTCAGAGACGTACAAAATCTTCAAATATATGATTTAATGTAACGTCTGGTATATAATCCTTCAAAACCTTCATCCGGGCACTAAAATTCCCCAAAATGATCATGCTGAGTATTCATTCTTGTTGCATTCGGATCTCAGCTAAACTGTCAACATCACCATGAAACAGACTGCTACTTGCAGGCAAGCGTTCTGAGGAAATGTAATAATGGATGATGTGCAGTTTCATAATACTGTGTTTTAATCTAAAGCACTGTGCAATATATAAATACCTGTTACGATACCGTCCAGAACAAATCATAGCTTCACAAATGACTCAGCGCTCTCAAAATGTAACTTTCCTCATTTTGTTTAAATATAACTTGAAAAATATTTATTAAGTTCCATTTATGGTTTCACAAAAGCTATGATGTCATATGATTTACAAAAAGTTCTAATCAGTAACTATTCCAGCTTAGAATATTGATATTATTTTCAATTATCACATAATGTACATGATTTTTAAAAGGTAGAGTTCTGAATAGGCATTTCAGAATCAAGTTGTCTTTTCTAAGTTAATAAAGAAAATACTTTGGGTTGTTGCATTACGAAAGTGCTATGAAATAAATGCTGACACACGTTTTAAGACGGAAATACAATCAACTGAAGCAAGAAGAAAATTGAATTTACTCCATGTCAGTGATACTGATTTTCAATTAATTTTGTAATTAAAGCGTAACTATCCAGCAACTGAGTTAACAATATTGCGATTACGTCACGGTTAATACCATGTCCTGATTAATAACTAACTCTTAGCATTAAATCGCCGTAGTCGAGTTGGGGTACTAAAATATTTTAAACAAATGACATATCAGTCATCAAATCATTATACTGCAGGAAATAAACTTGCTTGGAATGTCTATCAAACCAACGACTGTTAGCAGTTTATTTATATAATTGGATAAAAGAAAACGTGGCGCATCAAAGAGAGTGGTTAGCTGCTATCTTTGTCTCTCAGAGATTATGGGGTCGATATTTTGATTATATCCTCTGCAAAAGTCAGTGGTTAACTTTCTGTTATCGACGATTGTCTCATATCAATATGGTTCTGTACACTTCAGGAACACATTGCGAATTCGCATTTCTCTTAGGAAACTTTCTGAATACCCTGAAGCAAAATATGCTTCTATAAAGGAAAACTTACCCGGTTTTCGCAAAATTCGTCCACATCAGGACCATTTTCTTTGATAGGTCTTTCTCTACAACCGTTCCTCCTCCGTTCTGATAGTGCATTCCAGCAGCCATCGAATATGGGAAGCCAAAAACATAGGGTACCTCATCGCCATGGTTAGCACCATTTAAATAAGTGGGGTCTTGCGAGTAGGACGATCTCTGGTCAAACTCATATACAAATGTATGTTTATGGTTGGCATGTTTGGCATGGGGAAGAAGCACCCTCAACACTGGCATGTAGAAATTATAGTCAGCGGACAGTCTGAGAAGGCTTTGTAGCGTTTTGTTCGCGTTATCGGGATCATTCCAGTCGGTGTATTGATGGATAAGAAGACTCTTTAGGGCGTCATCGTTCTTACCAACTATGTCACGGACAAACATTGGAATAAATGTCTCCTCAAAAAATTTCCTTGGTACGCCATTGGTGAAACTCTGATTCATTAGTTGCTGGAGGTATGGCTGCAGAGCAAGTATTGCCACGAAAGCGCCGTCGTAACTATTGGAGCCAAGGAGTAAATCTATGTTCAGAAGACCTGAAGCATTTACGTAGGAATCCGTCGGCTTCCCTGACAGGAAATGTCCGTCTTTCACAGGAACCCATTCAGCACGGAATACTTTCTCATCCTGAGTCCCCACAATAGAACTGCTGATGATCTCATTGAAAGATTTCTTTCTCAAGCAATCGATTATTGCGACTGACGATCCATATGGGCAATTAAGAGCTTTAGCTAAACGTTCTGCATATTTTTTGGGGTGTTCCTCAAAAGCCCAGGGACAAAATGGGCTACCGCTTTCAATGATGATTCTCTTAAAGTAGCCTTGATTTTCCGTAAACAAAGCTTGTGTTATAGCGCTTGCCGCTCCAGCGGAGTTTCCAAATATAGTCACCATATGCGGGTCTCCTCCAAATGCAGCAATATTGTCGTGTACCCATTTGATGGCCAATCTCTGATCCCATAGACCGAAATTACCGGGTGCATTATCATCTTCTGTGCTTAGGAAACCGAGTGCCGACAATCGATAGTTGAACGTTACTACAACAACTTCACCAAGCATGGCCACATTCTCTGCAGCATAGATTCCTGCCTGACCGATTACGTACGCACCTCCATAGATCCAGATCATAACGGGATACTTTCTTCCGGAAGTAGCTGCTGCCTTTGGAACGAAGACGTTAATCGTAAGGCAGTCCTCGGACTGAGCGGGGTTGCCAGGCAACCATTGTTGTAAATAGAAAGCAAACTGTGGACAGCCTTTTCCGAAGGTGCTTGCATTAAATGGGGATGAAAATGATGCCTTCGGTACCGGTTTACTGAACCGCCTTTGTCCAGTAGGTGGCTCAGCGAATGGAATCCCAAGATACTGAAAAACTTCACCAGTTTTTCCTCCAAAAGTCACAGAACTTGAGTGACCAATAACTGATCCAGCTGTGATGTTCACTGTCTTGGAGTCTCCATTAGCAAAGCAAACGAAAATTATAAATATAGCTACTTGTAATAAACAAGCGGCCATATTGGACTTATTTATGGTTAAAGAGCGCTCTGCGGGATCAAAGATTGTCACCTCTTTATATGCACCGGATCCTTATCTCCTGACAGAAACAGGTGTGCGCCGTGTCTTACTTTACATCCTAAGTAAAGTAGAACAGTGGTATGTATGTCATCATAAGTCCTTGGAGGTGTCATATTTTCAAGAGAACTTATCTTATTTGGCAGACTTTTTCCTTAACTGCTGAAACGCAAATTATACAGATATTTGTTAAATTTTGTGAGAATAGTATTATCTCTATAATTCTTTTTACTTATGTTTCCTTCAGAAAATTCAGGCGATTTCCTTCATCAATTTTACCTTCATTATGATAGAGGAGTCGACATGTACCTTTTCAGATTACAGCCTTCCATTGTGACAGTGGAATAGAAATCATCATATATTACTATGATCCCTTTTTGTGCAAAGTATTTTTTTGTTCCCATAATTTAAACCGATTCGTTAAGTACCAAAATTGTGATCAATGCCTCAATGTTATCAAAAATTAACCAACTTATATCAGTTTCCATTCAGCCAGTATTATCTGAATATACCCACGTTAACTATTAGGTTCAGCAGATAGTCTCAATATAGTTTGGACGACTAAGGATAAATACGGTAGCGAGTACATCAAAGTTACGCATAGCATGAAAGTAAGTAAGTAAATTTACATAACTAATGAGCTTGTATGTATGGTAACAGAAATATCGTGATGTAGGTTAGAAAAAAATACTCTTGCTCTGATTTCTAGAAGAAAATGTTTTATTCTCTCTGATCATATTTGTTGTAATAAAGTAAATTGCGATAAATAAATGAAAAGTAAATATGGTTCGAAGAAACTCAGTTCTCCCTCCACCTCAACAGACCCTCTTCCCGAAAATTAAAATGGTTCTTCCATTAGTCTCGAGGCTATAATTATTGGGATTTGAATTTGAAAAGAACCTTCTATTGTTGACTCAACTCCACGTTTTATACAAAACAAAATAAGGTGATATTATTCCGTCCATGAACATTTGTATATCATCAAGTGGTTAAGCATCCGCCTCTGATGCGGGATGTCGTGGGTTCGATCCCCAGTCAAGTCATACCAAAGACTTACAAAAATGGTACTAACAGCTGCCTCGATTGAAGCTCAGCATTAGGAGGTTAGTGTCAGGATAATGTGACTGGCTGGGACATCATGCTACATGACTGCGGCATGATGCCCCAGTGCAAGACATCACTATAAACCATCACACTGCAGACATCGTACCGATATGACTGAAAAAATAATTGTTAAAGCTACGTTAAAAATCATAATCACATCACATCACATCACATCACATCACATCACATCACATTATCTCATCACATCACATCACATCACATCACATCACATCACATCACATCACATCACATCACATCACATCACATCACATCACATCACATCACATCACATCACATCACATCACATCACATCACACATCATTAAGTGTATATATTCCATTGTGAGATAGAAAATACGATACAGTGTGCTTTATTTACGATGTGCATTCTTTGGCGGTAAGCTTTAAAAATATCTCCTGAGTCGATACGGAAATATAAAGAGTGTATATGGACATGTAGATATATAGAAAGTGAATAAAGAAGGGCAGAAGTATAGAGATGGAATGCAGACGTTTAAAAAATATAGGGAATGTTCACATAAGGGCGGGAATACAGAGAGAGATTGATATATGACAAATATAGAAAGTGTAAATAAAAGGGCAGAAATATAGAGATGGTATGTACAAGTATAATAATACAGAGATAATATACAGGATGGCAGAAGTATAGAGATGGCATGTAGAATGGCAACAATATGGAAATGGTATATAGCAGGGCAGAAATATAGAGTGTATACAGAAGAATAGAAATATACAGATAGCATAGACAAGTGCAAAAATATAGAGAGTGTATACAGAAGAATATAAATATACAGATAGAGTAGATAAGGGCAGAAATATAGAAAGTGTATACAGAATATTATAAATATACATATAGCTTATACAGGGGCAGGAATATAGAGAGTATACAGACGAATAGAAATATGCAGATAGAGTAGACAAGGGCAGAAATATAGAAAGGGTATACAGAAGAAGAGAAATATACCGATAGCGTAGATAAGGGCAGAAATATAGAAAGGGTATACAGAAGAATAGAAATATACAGATAGCGTAGACAAGGGTAGAAATACAGAGAATGTATACAGAAGAATATAAATATACAGATAGCGTAGACAAGGGCAGAAATAAAAAGATGGCATATAGAAGGACAGAACCATATAGAACTTGGTAAGCGATACTTTTGTACCTTGTCACTATTATATTTTTAATATTATTCTTAAATTCAGCGACGTCAACATATAAAAATTATACGGAAGCATATGAAATTTATGTTAACTACCATTAAACGTGACTACCAATTTTATTTATAATCCAATGTCTGATATGCTATAACACATATTGTACATCATAATGTTCATTTTTCCCTCTAAATAACTCAGAAATGTGCATCAAAAACACATACTTTGAATCAAAAATGAGACAATATGCGGCTGTGATGTTTTGATATTTCATGTGATAAGAGGGATTTCCAGAAGTGACGAACAGCACTAGTCATTTTATACCTTATAGTACGCATATTATAATTAATGACAGACGTTACTAATTGTATGGGGAAAAGTGGGGACTACCCTGGAAATGGGTGAACATAACATAGAGTATATATGAGCTGATAATGAAAGTTATTTTGTTGGAAATAGAAACTTTTGAGAGCTTGGTCTAATTGTAACTGGAAAAAAAAGAGACATCGTTTACTTGATGGAATTTTGGTCTTTTAGCTGGGAACACTCATTACTGCAATTAGCACCTGACTCTTTGGTGCAGAATTGAAAGCACATATTTCAAACATGTAGATCCAGAAAATGCCGCAGCTCATATCTTTTTCTCTATACAGAAGCTGACATCCAGGTTTCATCTATACTGATAAATACAGGTTTGATCATGATAACTCTGAAATTTGAAGTTATTTAATTTTTAATATAATGGTGTTTGGGTCAGTTTATTATAGGAACTGAATTAGTACCGTGGGTCCTTTAATGGAAAACTATTTCAATATATAATTTGTTAAAAGGATTTTACCTACTAGATTATAGCAAACCTTCTGATCAAAACTGATTATGGAATGGATTTTATTACTGATAACTTATTAATAAAAATTAACACCTCTATACAAAAAAATGAAATTAAGCTTAAAGTTAGGATAATGTATGTATCTGTCATGTACATAGACTTCATAGATAACTATTGCTAAACGGTTAACTCAGAATGGGATATGATTATTGAGGTCATAGACACTAAACCTTTAATAGATAGGAATATGTGATATTGAACTGGGTCAACTATCGTTCAAAACAAAGACCAGTACGTGAAATGAAATGTATCTACTCCTTACATCGCTGTTTGTATCATATTTTGTATCTCTTTCATTTCCACATATATAATCATGAAAGTTATCAATCTGTAAGATATGTCATTAAATTAAAGCTGTATGAAGGAATTATGCTGAAATATGTATTTATACTTTAAATGGTTTTTACCCCAAAGCATTACTTTATGATAAATACCGCCAACAAATCTTTAAAGTTAACATCTTTTTTGACACACACAAGAAAAATCTAAGTGAAGAGCTAGTCAAATCACATTCTTAGAGTTCTGAAACGTATTGATTGAAGTTGAAGAGGTAAATATTTCTTCTATATTTAAGATCCCATTTACGCATAATTGAAATGCCCAGTTCATGATTTTGTCGTACTTGCATATTGAGAATTGGGATATAGCAGGGCAGAGGACACGGTAGGACAACTAGGGCATATTTCTGAGGGTTCCCAACGCTCAGGTGGAGGAGGGGGGAAGCCACAGCCATCACTACTGGAAAATTATTCCTGGGGCCCACAAGTTCGCTGACCTGGGAAAGAAACTAAGGCACAGCCGGCCATGGATCAATTGGATTGATTTGAATGTTAGTAATTTATATAAAAATATATTTATAAACAGAAAGTAATTTTATAGCGATGAAAGAAACTTTAAGTTTAATAATGTATAAACCTCTTTTGAAAGTTCATTTCCAAATGTTGTGCTCACAAGGAGCCTCACGTGTAAATGCAGGGGGTCCCGCTAAAATGATCTACATCTAGCCCAGTGTTTGCTCATGCCGGTGCTGATTATTGTCCATGACCATGTACACGAATGACACCATTTCTTATCTCCATAATAATCACCAAAGTATCCTACATTTTCGGTAGTCATTGACTTCCAAAATTTAGGTCAGGGTATTGAAAACGTAGGCAAGACGTATGATGCACCGTAGTGGACAAAAGCTGGTCCCATCAGAACGTTGCTCTTCAAATTTCAATATGCCCAGAATTCCAATTTCACATATTGTATCAAAACTGTTTGTCATTAAAGTTTCATTTTATAGGTCAAGAGTTTAGGATGTTTATGTTGAATTAAACATTAGTGGTTGAAAGTTATATTTTCTATGTCGAGGTTTTACATTGTGTCGTTTGAATTACATGGCGGTGGTTGAAATTTCAGTGTCAAACATCAAAATTTCCTAATTTATGATTTGGTTCAAAGAGTTTATGCTGGAAGTTCCATTCCATATGTTCAGCATTTATATTTCCTCTATTGAATTACACAGCGCTGGTTGTATATTTGCTGTCAAATTTTGAGTTCAAAGATCGTATCGTTCAGATTACACGGCGGCTGTTGAAATTTTAATGTCATATGTCGAGAGTTTCAATTTAATATGTTGAATGACATTCATTGTCTTGAAAGTTCCATTTCGTATGTTGAAATATTAGTTTGTATTTGTTGAATTACAGAGCGGTGACTGGACATTTTATTGTGCTCGTCAGAATTGTTCATTTAATCTGTTGAAATAATGTGTTGGTGTTAAAAGTCACATTACACTATCTCCACTTTAACAAATCAAAATAATATTGAGGATTAAGATACATCATTCGTGTGTTCAATTATGAGGCTTCATTATATTTCATGCATTTACAGTTTGAAAGTTGTTATTCACAGTCGAGAATGACTATGAATTTCTTCGCTAAAGGTCTCTCTCGTGAACGGACCAAGTTATTTTTATACAAAGATGCTGCTTCTCGTTGCTGTGAAATTCAACAGATGAAATTTAATACTCGCCATATGAAATGGAACTTTCGTCACATAGATTTACATTCAATGTGTGAATTGGGTATGCTCAATATATGATATTGAAATTTCAACCACCGCTGTGTAATTCAAAATATACAATGTCAAACGTCAACATTGAAAAGAGAACATTAAACCACCACTATATAATGCAACATATAAAATCTAAAATCACGATCTTGAAAATGGAACTTCAAGAACGTGCAATTTGATCCGACATGTGATTTTGGAATTCTCGACATACAACATCGAAATTTCAACTGCAACTTTCTCATTGGACCAGCTTTGGTCCACTACGGCGCTTCATACTAGATGCGTGGTTATTAGTTATCAAGTTTAATTGTGAATCAAGCAGGGTTGCCATAGATCACAATTAATTGTACTATATATTATCTACATTTGTTTCTCGGTACTGTACTTTCCACTGTGTGACAATCAATACAAATCATGTTTATCTAAAATAAACTTCAAAGATAACTTTACAGCGAAGTTCTTGTCTAGGGTTGTCCTGCATTTTCTTGAGAGGCTGAATTGTAAACAAAGCACCATGCAATGGAACACAAATTTAACTTCCGGATCATCACCAAGACCTTATTACTTTCTGCACTGTCGGCAAAACACACACAGATAAGCACACTATAAGCTCATATTCTAAAGACGAAGCAATTGCCTTTAAATCCTTACCAAGAATACCTAAATCGAACTCTTCTATCACCACCAAACAGAGACAGGAAAAATGATCAAAAAATAGACTGTGACTATATTCGTGGTTTCTGAACCGGAACTATTAAATGTGACCTAGGGCTAGGTTACTCACATTCGGAACTACTAGAGTGGTTCTATTTC